TTTTGATGAGAAGGATGGAGAATAGGAAGAGCATGAGTTCGATGATGCTGTCCATTGCACCGATGTATTCCCGTTTTTGAAACTGGTGAGGTGTGTTTAGTGTAATTGGAGGGATATAGAGCGAGAAGATTCATACCAATCCAGTACAGTGGTCAATGGGTCTTGCCCATGGTTTGTTCAATTCGCAGTTGACAAGAATGATCAGAATCGAAGAGAGAACCCAACAGATACTCAACCCCAATATCCCGTGAAGAATGAAATGGTGAATGCGCTGGGGAGTCAACCGCGAGAGCATCCCAAGCACACAGCACTTGGACAGAAAGACAGTGATCAAAAACAAAGTATCTGTAGAAGCTGTTGTCTGCATGAAGAGAATTCCTGATTAACCCGTGTCCCTGCCTAGATTCTGGACAACGTACCCGTTGAACGTTCACCACCTGATCCGAAGAAAGAAGCCTTATAGATGTCCCGAATCCTTTGGCAGAGTTTGACATGACGAGGGAGGTCTGAATAATGCCAAAAGCCTATGTATAACGCAGTGGTTAGTATCAATCTCATAAATGTGTCACAGGCATCAACGTTGGAACTTACCGTAGCAACAAATAATAGATAATTATCTCGTCCAAACCCCGGGCTAAGTATTGTTCTGACATATACACGGATAGCCAAGCAGATCAATGTCATTACCAGGGCCAAAGTCCCAACAACAATGACAATGCCGGCATGGTGACTCTCGTCAATGACCACAAGGGGCTTCCCAGATGTCGTCATGACCGGGAGCCACCCAGAGGCTCATCAAGCGATCGTGAGTCGCTTATCGTCCGGTGTCCTTTGGAAAAGCAAGAGATCAGGTTAAGATCCCCTAATGCAGGGCCTCCCAAATATAAAGTCCGGTAGATAAACTGGCCTGTATGCAGGCTTTAGGTATGTTCCGAAGCGAACGCCATAGTGCCATCTCTTCCGGCTCAAGACTATGGTGGCCTGGTCAGATAGGTTATCAGGGATCTGACTCCAGTGTGCGAGGAACTGAGACCTATCATTGGCCCGAGTGATAGCACAAAAGGCTCAGCTAGAGCGCATGGAAGGATTTGGGTCCAGCTCATAAATGGCCAGTTGAGAGATATGAACAGTGCTTGTTCATTACGGCTGATGTTCGGATTCCAAAGCCCCTGTAGCGTTGCGAGTAGCTAAACCCGACCCTGTACCAAGAAAAGTTAATAACGGAGAAGGAAGCACTTGCAGGGATCATACTACCCTAGAGTTTAGTATGATTGTAACACGCAATCATGTCGCATCCGTCTCGAACCATGGCAGACTAGCTACCCCTTAGCTTGATTAGACTGCCACTATCCGTGCTAGTGTTCATACCGAGTGTTCTTTCAAAGAAGCTGAAAATTATTTTATTATGACCAGCGCAAATGAAAGGTTGGTGCCCTCGCGGATTTAACAGCTCAAGATCACTGATAAGGTTGCAGCCTGGCTTCATAAACGTAGTGCTCACTGGTGTGATACCAAACAGGAGCGGGCATCCTTCCGGATCCACAAGGAACGCTCCGGGGAATGTGTCCGCAGCGGCGTTCCCGTTGATCGTCGGGGGGACTTGCCTGGATCAGTTAGGGTTCGTGAGAGAAGCGCTGGTAAGCTCCCGGTGTTGTTCCGGTGGGCCGCGGCGGGATCATCTGGCGAACAAGATCCGGCCGGGCCATCGCCGAGATATATGAATTATAAATTTGGATCCAGAAGTAATCAAAACCTGTCATTTCAGTTTCGTAGTGTTACCAGTGGTTAAATCAATCCATACGGTAGAAAGAAAACTTTTCGATTTCAACCCCACTGTGGGCAGAAGTCAGGAAGGAATAGCATCCTGGTCATCCTCCATACTAATCGCCAATAAACATAGTTCGGGCTCCATTACGCTGGCGAAGAATGCGCAGGCACTTGCGACACTGATGCAGGCGATAGGCCGGTGCGGTGGAGACCGCCAATGTCGACCTGTTACTGCGCCAGAATCAACAAAACGGAAAGAGGTGGCGTGTCCATGCAGCAGCAATAAGGACTCCAGCCAACGAACGTCCAAATCAAATTTCGCGCTTGACCAAGGCCACGGGCGGCACATAAGTTTTCCGCCCGTACATCGCATAGTAGATGATGGAAAATATCAACATGCCACCATACATGAGTGAGCTCCAGTTCATGTTCTCGGGATCCACAGTCGAGTAAAGGGGGAACATAACGAAAACGAACTCTGGGATGAGGAAAGCCAGGGCCCCGAGGTTTACCCAAAGTCCCCATCGGCCTAGTGACCACCGATGTGGGGGTAATGGTTCCCCACGAATTCTTTTCCATGCGACACAGGAAACAGTGATGATGTAGGAATTCAACAATGCTCCGACAGTGAGGGTTATCAAGGCATCCAGGGCGACAGTCGAGCCGATGTTGATGAGTGATAGCAGCATCGTAAGCACGAGGGACACCAGAACAGCGTTGAGGGGGATGTTCCAATTTGGATTGACCTATTGCCCGTCAGTACTTAGTATATTAAAGCTGAAACTAACAAGAAGTGGGAACCCTTACATGACCGAAAAAGCTAGCCAGTGGGACGCCCCCATCACGGGCGAATGACCAGAGTTGACGCGACGCAGTAGCAACCTCCGTAATAACACTGGCAATAAGCGACATGGTCACAATTGCAGTCATTGCGTTTGTAGCTGCGTAGCTCTTGGTGGCGTTGAAGAAAACCCGAATGAAAGGGTAACCAGTAGCGGAGTCGAGAACCTCATCCACATCACCCAAGGTGAAACACAAGGTGACCATAACGACGAAGGCCAACACCCCATTCAAGGAGCACGCCACCATGATTGCTTTGGGAAGGGTCGTGGAAGCGTCTCGAACTTCCTCGGCTGCGTATCGTATTAGCATGTATAAGAGATCGAGCCAGAGCCTTTACTCACACATGTGGACAGTACAGTCGTAGCCTATCATGGCAGTAATGGCAGTAATTAAACCAACCATCGTCGCGGTACCATTGCTATCCCAATCACCACCATTTGTAAACTGGGTAAAAACTGACTTTGCGTCCTTGATGGGTGCCAAAACCCACAGGGGTATAATCACAATGAAGAACCCGGCAACGTGGAGGATCAAGATGAAGGCTTCAACGAGAGGGAGCTTCTTGGCGAGGAAGGTGTTAAAGAGAACGGAAAAAAGGGTGATGGCGATTGTAATGAGAGTACCGTGCCACCGCTCAGAAACATAACCTGGGTAATTGAGGATAACTAGACCTTGAATGATAGTACCTGCCAGGAAAGCGATTGACACAATTGCGCATTCCCAGCCCGTGGCACAGAGCCATCCTAGATGCGACCGGGCTTGTTAGGCTCAGCCATCCTCAATGGGTAGCTATACATACCAGTGATATAACTCAAGAACTTCTGGTACTTCCTAGGTGCAAACTCTGAAACCCAGTGATACTGGCCACCAGCAGTAGGTGCCCTGTGAAAAGATTAGCTGGTGTATAGTTTCAGGATGAAGTGCGTGCACTCACATGGAAGCCATCTCCGCCAGACTTGCGAACAGAAGCAACACGCCAACCGAAACCACGACGAAACCCCAGATGAAGCCAGCAGTGCCACCATCTACCAGAGGCGAGCTCATCATGCTGTCCCAGTATTAACATTATGTACGTACCCCTGAGAAAAAGAAAGACTTACGTCAACATGACCTCCCATGAAGCAATCAGAGTACATCCAAAGGCAACGATTGAAATGAACCGGAAATTTCTCTGAGGATAGGATTAGAAAAGCTCCTCACTGAGTAGACAGAAAACGAACCCTGAGAACTTGTTCCTTTCCCAAAGCCTGCATATCCCTTTGGTCGGCCATAGTGCCGATATACTTCTGAGCGACATGACCTTTGGCAAGCCCTTCATCAGCGAATACAGTGGAAATATTATTTCCACCCTTGGTGGTTGTGAGTTCAACATTGTCCGGCATTTCTTCGATTTCTTTTTGTCTCTCCTTTGGGGTTTGGTACTTTAAAGAAATGGCACGGATTTCAAGACGAGGGATGAGTAGCTATATTTCAATGTAATTTTTCAAGGCCCTGCATCATGCATACGGATTGGCCAACCCGCCATTTCCTGACGAGTTCCCAGAAGGGAAACTCTGCCCTTCATTTCAGTCATCGACAGGGGGTAGAGGTGGCCTAGAAACCATCGATGCGGGTGAGAAGCTTCAGTAGCCAGATACAGCTGGCTCTAATTCGCCTTGGGTTGGCTGCGATAAGAGGAGCTTAATCAAATCCTGGGTGTTCCACTATCAAGCTTGACCCACCTGGCATTCTGGAGCTAAGGCGTTGGCGTGGGCTAAGTGGTCTAGCGTTTATCTAACGCCCTCGGGGGAGAACCGCGCCATACCATCCCGTGTCGCTTGCAGTAGTATGTCGTCCGGGTATAGGCTTTTCTCCGATTGTTTCAGCCTTAGTAAGGTTTTGGTGTAAGAAGCTATGTCTCCGTGAGGTTGACTTTGACGTTTTAAAAAGCTTTAAAGACATATCAGAGCCCAGTCGTTGCTTTATTGACGTTGTATCTTGTTGTCAGTCGTTTCTCGGGCGCCTGCCACTATAGATTAACGAGGGACCTCTCGTATAGCGTGAGAGAGACATTGTGTCTTCCTGTCTTTAGGAAAAGGGAAATTTTCATTTGCGTTGGGGCAAAGAGAGCACCTTAGCATTGACACCTTCAATGGCGCAGTTGGCTATTGCTATGTAGTTCAATGCCTGTAGAACGCATAGTGGCAGTCGTGAATTTACTCAGTAGTATGTCCAGCCAAGGAAGCACCATCGACAAATAGAATCAATCAAGACACCCCTCCACGTGACCATCAACAAGCATCTCATTTGCCATGAATTACTAATCCCAACGACGTCATCGCTGTATTCCCCGCATCACCAACACTTCCATACACCTTCCAGTATATATCTCTGCCTCAAACGTTACCCTAATTCAGGTGGCTGTATTATTGGAGCAAGGGAAATGGCGGAAACATACCCCATTGGTACACGCAAAGAATGCGAACGTCTCGTTAAGGATTGGGGCTTCAAGCACGTCTTTACTTGGGCGGACGGAAGGTGAGTTGACAGAAACCATGGACGCTGTACTATGTACCTTTTAGGGTCTCTTCATCTATATCATTATTTTGGGCACTGGTATTATCATGATTTCAGTCCTCGTGGAGCTAATACTGTCCTAGCAATGCTCATTATCCACCACACTCACACGGTGGTGTCACAACGCATCTAATACGCCAAGGGAATTTGACAATCACCTACCCGGACGACAATGCTAAGCTGCATAATGGGGAGGTAAAAAAAGAGACGTATGGTGTTGGTGCACGACTGGATGTTCCGGCGGGCAAGTTGCATGAGGTGTGGATTGGAGATAGTGGGTGCGAGTATGTCATTGGGGAATAGGCATGAGTGAACATGAATTACGGCTTGTCCCTTACGGTTTATGATCACTTGAGCGATGTGTTGTATTATGAATTTGCTCTATCGTCTAATCTATAGACTTAGGGTATCCCGCGGGGCATCCACCAATATGCCATATATGCAGTTGGTCATCTATGTGTTAGTTGTATAATATAATCAATCATTAATCGTGCTCATCTAGTGAGTAAATCGGAAATCGAGTCTGCAAGGCGACCAATTAGACAGATTATCAGGCAATCTTGCGGAAGGAAGACTCACCGCTTGTTTCCAAGATCCTTATTAGCTGCCAGGTATTCCTCCCTCTCTTCGCTGGACATGGCATTCCAACGAGCAGCGTTGTACCTAGCAGCACAGTTAGCATCGTAGTCGTTACTATCGGAGAATTGGTGAGCCATACTTGTTGCGCCAGATGTAATAAAACTTGGCCCCAATGAATAAAGCCATGCTGAACACAGAGATGGCAATGAGAACCTTATTACCCACACGGTAGTAAGGCTTGTCTTTTTCTTGATAAATCTGCAAGGGGTTAGTAGTGAGCCATAATGTGGGGTAGTATCTCACTTACCTGACTGGCAATGATACTCGAGGCCTGGACCATCATGTTGTATACCGCGCTCGCAACAGTGCGTGTGCGGACCGAGCCCGCGTTTCTGGATGTCATGGCCACAATGATTGCGTGTACGTAAGGGGCTCCAATCAAGAGAGCATTGATAATCCACCGTACCCATCCACTGGCTCCATCTGGCAGGACTTCGAGCGTGATGAGCAAGACCAAACACCAGAATTCAGTGACGACACCGAGAAGTAGACGCTGGTTGAAGCGTTCTGAGATCCATGTCCAAAACAGTAGGTTGATAATGAAGATGACATATGCGGGGATGGTCAGGAGGTTCGTCTCGAAGGTGCCGAACCCAAGCGACTTCAACTCCAGGGTGATGTAGTTGGTAGCAGGCGTGTTGGGAATCATCCACGTCAGACCAAGCAGGTAGATGGGCCACATGTCGTAGTCGCACAGAGCCTGCCAAAGCATCTTCGGTGTGACCGCCTGACGGTTGTGCATGCTTCCCTTGCTGGGATCGTCACGGAGTACACGGTTGACAAGGATTTTCTCCTCACGCTCGTTGAACCAACCGTCTTTACCGCGGAAACCGCCCTTAGTCTGGGTGGGAGATGCAGGCATCCAGAACGCGGCGATGATTCCGATGATTCCTGTAATAAGACCCTCAAAAGCGAACAGATAGCGCCATCCTCCAGTATAACCGTCAGAGCCGTGGATGTGGAGGAAGCCGAACGCCAGAAAAGCGCCGACGATCGATGTAGCTTCATAAGAAACCCAGAAGTAACTCAACCGTTGCGGCAGCTCTTTGGACTTGTAGAAGAAGGACAGGAAGAGGATAGTGTCGGCAATGCTAGAACATGTTAGAAAACTCATACCCCAAGTAGGACAGTGTAGGAAGACTTACAAACCTCCCTCCAGGAGGCCGAGAAGCGCTCTGCAGGTAAAATATCCGGCCCTGTTTTTGAGAAATGCCTGGAATGCGGCGACAAAACTCCAAGCGACCATTTGAATGGGAATCCAGCGGTCTGGACCGACCTTTTTAGATAGTAACTGCGAAGGAAGCTCGGAAAAGAGGAAAGTGAGGTAGAAAATCGTTTGTCCGGTGTTGTAATCGTTCGTGGTCATTCCCAGGTCCCCCAGCATGCTGTCTGAGTTTGCTTGCACAATGTTGCCTCTGTCAAGCTGAAGTGCGAAAAACGTAACGCATGCGAAAGTACAAACTCGGATGTCAATCTGTTGCGATCAGCTATGATTTTCAGGATGGGCTTGGATAAATGGTAGTTAGTTACCTTCTTGATTAGTGCCTTTTCTTCCTCTTCCGTCCATTCGAAGTATGGATCCCAGCGATGTGCGCTCTCATACTCGGGAATCGGCTTGTAGAACCTAGGGTCTTCCGTCGTATCGAAGGCGCAGTCAGTCACCTTTGCGACTCTGTGTTCCGAGTCCGTAAGTGAGGATGACGATGCAGATGATGTCGAGACATCAGGGTTCTTCTTGGTGTCCTCATTTACGGAGGCCGTGTCCGCGGGGACTTCCTTGACACCGTCTGTGGTCATCTCTCCTGTATAGGAAAGTGGTGAGAGGCAGAATAACACTGAAGGACCAGCTTCTGGTGGTTGAGTTCAAGAAACAAGCAGCAACTCAGGGGACATCGGGCCTTTTTGATGTGTCCATCAGCAATGAACAGGCATCAAACTTCATCACGCAATTTCTTGTTAAAGTGTCAGCACGATGTACTAGTTGTTAGCACGAGAGCTGTGGGTAGCTATACGTAGCCAATTGTCTCATGAGTGGGTCAGGCTCAGGCAACCTAGAACGTTGAGCGCATCGATGTGCGACATGAAATGGTTGGCGGAATGGGGCCAACGTCAACTACGGCCGTGAGTGCCTAAAGGCTGATATGCCATGATTCAAGGGCCGCATAATCAGATATGGCTTTACTTGCCGAAGTGCTTGTTAGTGCTGGAGACTTAACCGATCTTGCGCAAAAATCCCGGCAGGGGATGAAATCACGCAAGGGGAGCATAACTGACGTTATGAGGAACAAGTAAGGTTAAGCGGACAAGTGCCGGGTCTGAGATTAGCGGCTGCTCCAGATTTCCGCAGCTGATGGCAGAGAATCCAATAATAGCAGAGAGATTGTATCAAGTTCGCCGGAACTGCGATGTCACCATCGCATTGGCTTATGATGATATGCTAGGGGCTTAACATCGCAACATTGGCTTTTTCTGCTGATTGGCAAGGATAAGCCGCTTAAGGTGGGGGAATCTGATACGAATGGTGTTTTCATTAAGGTTTTTATTGTCTCCAAAAGTTCAGGGTGAGCATTCAGAATGTGGTAGAAGCGGACTTGGACGCGAATCATCGTGACAAGACTGCTGTACCAGTACCACCTCAGTAAAGGATTTTTTTCCAGATAAATCTGGCCCAGGTCATAATGCAATGAAATCTTGTAGACAAAGTCTTAGGCGGGTTATGGGTCTTGATTGCACGTCGCCTTGCCGGCGAGCTTAATTAGGGCGAGTTGCGCGAAGCAAGAGCACTATCACGCCATGCTTGGCCCGCATTTGCCTCTTCTCTTCTCTTCCGCCCATGCACTACATTGACTGCATTAAATGCAGCACGCCCTCGACGCGAAGAATACAAGAAACCATATTTGACCTAAAAGGACTTTAATGATTATGTCCGTAGGATATCCAAAAATAGTCAAGGGCATCTTTCTAGCCATTCATAGATCTGGTTGGCTGCAGCCTGGCTCGGTTCGAGTGAAACGATGATTGATAACCACAGCACTGACGTCTTAACTTTCTTGCATTATCATTGCACCATTGACATCTTGGATCGGCGAGTCATGCTGGCTTACACGACCTTCCCGTGGCTCGCGTAACTCCTTGTCCAAGTTCCCAGCATATCCGACTGCAGTATCTCCGTGATACCTGACAGCCGGAAAATGGCGTCAATCCATACCCCGCAGGGATTGCGTGACAAAAGACGGATATTCGGAATGGAAGCAGAATATATATGGATGCTGTTCTCTGTGCTGGTTGCTTTCTAGATATCGCCACAAAATCAGCACAGCTGTCATAGTTGCACCTGCATACATTCCACATGGCCCCATCTCTGGTTGAAGAAACTCCTCTGTCGCTTCGGGCGGCACCTAAGACTACGCTTAAGACCGATGCTGGCTTTAATAAGGAGAACGTGATTGGCTATGGAGAAGCTTACAAGCATGAGAACGAGCTGAAGGGCACTGAGAAGCAGCCGCCGGCTTCTTTCCCCAACTATCTTCCTGTCTGGGACAACGAAACAGAAAGGTAGCTTACACTCTCCATAGGTCTATTCACCTCACCCTGACAACCATAGATACCCTCCCCTCCAGCCCTTCGAGCACTACGACCACGGAAAGGATGCCGACCCGACCTTCCCTGACCTTCTCCCCAAGGACAAAGCCGAGGTAGACGACATCACACCTACCATTGGCACCGAGGTCCGTGGTGTCCAGCTGAGCCAACTGACCAAGGAAGGAAAAGACCAGCTGGCTTTGTATGTAGCTCAGCGGAAGGTCGTTGGTACGATCCCCTTCTTCAAGACGAGCTGACGTCCCATTAACAAACTATATAGCATTCCGCGACCAAGACTTCGCACACCTGCCCATTGAGAAAGCCCTAGAATTCGGCGGCTACTTTGGCAGACACCACATCCACCAGACCTCTGGAGCACCCAAGGGCTTCCCGGAGATCCACCTCGTGCACAGAGGTGCCGATGATAGAAGCGGAGCTGAATTCCTATCCCAACGCACCAACACCATCACTTGGCACTCGGACGTGACCTTCGAGAAGCAGCCTCCTGGCACGACCTTCCTGTACATCCTGGACGGGCCATCAAGCGGAGGTGACACCCTCTTCGCCGACATGGCCCAGGCATACCGACGCCTATCGCCTGAGTTCCGTAAGAGACTTCACGGGCTGAAGGCAGTTCACTCCGGAATTGAGCAGGTCAACAACAGTCTGAACAAGGGGGGCATCGCTCGACGGGATCCGATTACTTCCGAGCACCCAATTGTCAGGACTCACCCGGTATGCACATAACCCAATTCATGCCAAACTCCAGAACTAACAGTGTGTCCAGGTAACCGGAGAAAAAGCCCTCTTCGTAAATCCCCAATGTAAGTACCATTATCATCTCACCCCTACTCTATGTTACTAACCAAAGCAGTCACCCGCTACATCGTCGGCTACAAGAAAGAAGAGTCCGACTACCTCCTCAAATTCCTCTACGACCATATCGCTCTCTCCCAGGATCTCCAGACCCGGGTGAGATGGCGTCCTGGAACCGTGGTCGTTTGGGACGTAAGTTCTACCCTCCCCACCTACTCGACGAAAATAGAGACTAACGAGTGTAGAACCGCGTTGTTACCCACTCTGCCCTCTTCGACTGGGAAGACGGCCAGAGACGACACCATGCGAGAATCACTCCGCAGGCGGAAGCGCCATATGAGACGCCGTTTGAGGGTTAGTCGCACTGCCTTGACAGTTTCTACTAATGAAGTGCACTATGGCAGCGGGACTGGCCTAGATATGAATTACAATACAGAGCATGAATTAAGCAGATTAAAAACTGTGTGCAGCCGTCCAGGATATTCTCACTAGTAATATTTATAGCAGCGCTTGGCAACACCACAAGAAGCTTATACCCACCAGTGCATACATCCCATTTCACTGCTTCACCACCCAGAAACAAAGAATCTCATCATAAATCAACACCCAATTCACCTCCCCAACCCCTCTCACTCCCAGAGAAAGAAGCAGACTTCGTAGAGCACCCTCCACTTCCCTCGTCCCCATTACTACCCACACCACTCGCACCAGACAGAAGGGTAGATACCGTATCCCCAGGCGGATGAATCCTAATAGCCGGCGCCCTACCAGCCCCAGGCCCCATTCCCTTCCCCGTCCCAGTTCCAATCCCGTCATGCATACCCATCATAACCTCAACATGCACCGCCCCAGACCGTGCATGCATTTCATGGCTAATGACCCTTTCGGAATGGTTGTCCGCAGTAGTTTTTCTTGATTGAGATTGAAGTGACGGCGGCGCATGTTCGAGATGTTCCCAAGTGACGGTGTTGTTTCCGTCGGAGGTGGTGGAGGGGGAACGAGGATGCGATTGATATTGAGGTGTTGAAGGGGGCATTGTTTGTTGTGTCTGTGCGTGTAGACAGTGAGATTGTAGGATTGTAGAGTTGTGGTTTGATAGTGGTAGGTTTGAAGGGCGTTGAGTTGAGTGTGTATGTATCTATGAACGCAGTATTCCGGTCAGTATAACGTACAATCCAAACAATCTCTATAGGATAGAGTGGTAGAGTATCTTACCTGCACGAAGAAAACACCACTCAGAAGTGAGTTCAGTATCTCTCAACTCTTCACTACTCCTGTATGCAAACAAGGTAAGTTGGTCCCTCCATTCACTACCCCCAACCCAAACAGGAAGGAACAAACACTGGGCCCAAAACACCCCCTTCCATCGGAGGAACTACTACTACTACTACTACTTCCTCTCAAACCTCCATAACAACCCCACCCTCCACTCCCGAAACACCCTCGCCGAAGCCGGCAACATGCCATTCCTCTCCTCCAACACGCGCACCAACTCCCTATACGCTTCCTCCCCAGGAAGTCTCACCTCCTCAATGGCCAACGACTGATTCCCCTTCCCCGCCTCGGGATGCAACACCTCCTCGACATTTTCAATATGCTGGTAGAATACCTTCATGGCGAGTTGTGCCGCCGTGCTGTGCGATGCGCTGGTCGTGGAGTATCGAAGGGAGGGGTTGAAGGGCCATATCTATATTTTATATTAGTATTCTATTATAAATATATTGTATGAGGGAATTGGGGATAGGAGGGGATATGGGGTCAGGCTTACGAGAAGTCCTTCTTTAGCTCCGCAGTGGATGACGAATCGGCGGTAGCTTTCGCGTTCGATGAGTTCGAGGAGTTGTGCGGTGAGGATTGTTTCCAGCGGGTGGGATTCCCATGTAGATGTCTCTTCGGGGGATGGGGATGAGGATGAGGATGAGGATGAAGGTTTTGGGGAGTGGTTGGCCGATAGGCTGGTTTTGAAGAGCCGGTAGCCGTTAGCGATGGGGTCGGGGAGGCCGAGTTGGGTGGTGCAGGTTGTGCAGGTTAGGATTGTTGCTGTTGTCTCTGGTTCTGTGTCTGGTTGTGTTGGTTTTGAGTCTTTGGATGGGACCTATTAGGGAGACTATTAGCCTTGTGCAAGAAAGAAGTCGATATGTAGTATGAGGTATAACACGCTTAATTCTATCTACATGCATTATCTTGACGCTACGCTTACTGGTATAGACGATAAATGTACCTCTGCATAATCGCGTCGACTCCATCACTCTGGACCAAGACAACGGAGAAACAGCGAGGCGCAGTCCTGATCACAGCACCAGAGCACCCAAGCTACACTGACCCATGCTGAGACGACCCGCAGGATGAAATCCATCTGCGAGAGAGGATATCTATCCCGCAGCACCCCAGCACCAGCCACTGCACTTGTTCATGCCGGGCCATACAGACCGACCAAGACTCTGTAGTTATAGGGCAATTGTATCGAAGGCCTCATCACTGACTGAAAAGGTCTCCTTCTTGTTGCCCATATCCCACCCTCTATTACAAAACCGTCCCCACAAGCAATGCAACCCAGAAACGCATAAACATAGAAACCCTTACCTTTGATTCCTCAACACCGAGACAATCCACACCCTTCACCAAAAAGCTCGTCACATCCACCAATACCGTCCCCTCGACCGCAACAAGCTGATTACCAGCCCCGTACCCCTTAACCACCGCATTAGGATCCTCACCATCTTTGTTTTTCTCCTCCTCCGGCGGATCCGGTTTATGGCAATGCCAGAAATCCATCATTTCAGCCCAATTTCCACTGGGAAGGTCTTTCCACACTTTCCCCTCATTAAGAATGGGGCTATGGCACTTGACGCACCGCAGGCGTGTATGCGCGGACATGTCCGTCGCTGTCCAGGGAATGAACCCGTCATTTAGAGTGCTCTCGTCCTTGTGCAGGGACGTGTCATTATCGTCTACTTGCATGCGGAAGGAATATTCGCTTCCGCTTTGTGTGGAAGGTGGCTGTTGTTGGAGGATGCGTCGGGAAGATTCGCTGACGCGCGCGGGGAGTTTGATTGTTTCTGAGGTTGGGGTAGGGTCATCTTGATTTGTGTCGGAGGAGGTTGTTACGGTGACTGCACGTCGCGAGTCTGAGAGGGTGATTCGCAGGTCAGAGCGGGGGGTGTTTGGGGGAACTGAGATGTAGAGGGTTAGTTGGCGGATGTTGGGGAGGAGTTCGGCGTGGAGGTGGAGAGGTGTATTTAAGTAGAGTTGTGGTTCATCTTGTGACAATTGTGACATCGTAGTCTAAGTCCCTGTCACTGTGTTTAGTACCTATTTAGTCTGGCTAGCACTGGTTTTCTCTGTGTTGGATATTGTTGTCTGTTTGAGAGAAGATAATACATGAGGATAAAGAGGACCGCGGAGGTGGAGATGCAAAGAAGACAAACAGTACGCGCACTCACGTGAGTGCTTATCTATAAACATGCCTTAAGGCAGAAAGAGAACTATATGTGTAACAACCAACAATTGCAATCTCATCCTCTTCGAGCTCTCAACCACTTTCTGTATATCTCAGCCCAGTATGTCATCCGTCAACTGAAGACTTTTCGTCGAGAACGGAAAGGGCTCAATTCCCGAAGAAATGATCGAACCACGTGGAGTTTCCCCGTCTCCTTAGGCTTCGCATGCTGCTTCCTACTACCTTTCTGATTCCCTTTACGAAATTTCCCGTTTCTCTGTCTATCCTCAATCACTCTTTGCAGGCAGGCATATTGAGCCGGAGAGAATAGTTCCTGCAGCACCATGGCCGCCGTCATCTCATCCGCACACCGGGCATCGGGATCGGCCCCATATTCTAAAAGCATCCGGACAGCTGGGTAGTGGCTTTTGGAAGTCTTTCCTTTTCTTCCTTGCCACATTATCAAATATTCCAAATAGGTTACCCAGGGGCCGGTGATTGGTGGCCAATTAGGGTCAGCGCCACTTCGTAGAAGTATCTGGAGTATCGCCAAATTTGGAACACTTAAGATCTCAGTCACATTAGGATTTTCGACAGATAGTGCGTCAAGCAGGAGTTTTATAGAAATCTCCGTGAGTTTATATGGGGTTTTTCTTAGTATATGCTCAGTATAGCGAGTAAGACCTGCTTTGACCGATAGGTTGAGTATTGCTAACTCCCCGTTCCACTGCTGATAATCTGAAAATGGCCCTAAACCTAGATCACGAAGAAGGGCAAGGGTCACGTTGTAATGACTCGAATGACTCGCTCGGATCTCAATATAGAGTTGGACAATCGTTGCCATTTCGTCTAGGAGAGCGAATTGGGAACATTCGCAGGCTGTATCGTCTAATTTTGCTATGTGATGAAAGAAGCTTTTAGTGAACCGCTTAAAAGAGTGTGAGTGATCCAGTTGCAATGAAAAGGGCGCTGAGATTTTGAACATGGCTAAAATGTATTTGCAGATGTCGAGGTCGATGTTGATATCCCGTGACAGCCATGTATGGAGAAAAGCTTGCATTTCTGGCGTCCAGAGGAAGTCTCGCACGGTCCTGTGTAGGAAATCTACATGGAAGTTGAAGAATGACGTAGGCGATTCTAAGTCGATAGTCTTGTTGTCAGTAGGATAATGTACCTCGAGGAGCCCTTTGCAGTACGCATTCAATCGAGTCTGCGTGATCTTCATCTGTGTGCTTATCATCTCCATATCCAGCATTTTGACTTCCAATTTAAGCGCATAGTCAGGGTCTTCGTGGTCCAGAAACCAGTAGCAGATTAGAGGGAGAGTTTCGTAGGCTTCCAGGGTAACAATAAGGGCTCGAGCCATTTGCGGGCGGTACCGTTCCTCGACGGTCAGAAGGGCTTTCTGGAAGTACTCATCCAGACTCTGGGGAAATTCGAGTAGTCGTTCTTGTAGATGGGAGATTGTGTCAGCGTTGGTGAGGCCGTCCAGAAGCGAGTTCACCACCAGAAATACCCAGAGGAAGACACCCTGTGCTGTTCTGACAATTGATTTCACAAAATTGGGAGAGTTATCGTCAGATACTTGGAGCTCTCGGAAGCGCTCATGTTTCCCAAGTCTATCTTCAACGTATATTCGAATATCGTCACTGGTTAGGTCATGAATGTACAATTTCCACTGGTTGCCTTTACCAAAACTGTATTCGAATTCGTTCCAAGGACGACTGGAAACACAGGCTTTAATATTGGGTGAGGACCGCAGATATTCGACCAGCTGAATAATATCCGCCGGTCGGCCCTCATACTCGTCTAACCCGTCTACGAAGAAGCAGAATCGGATTTTGTAGGTTGCCAGTGCTGTGGTGACCTTCTCAAATGCTTCGAGCAGCTCTCCGATGCTGAAGCGTGTCTCGGCTAAGCCCGTAACGCTGGAAATTGACTGGCTCCATTGGGCGGGAAAAGCGACCCGTATAAGTTCTGGACATTGGCATAGAATTTGGTAGAGAATGGATCTGAGTAGGCCGGTCTGCGACTTTTGCAGGGAGTCTTTGGCAGCGCTCCAGAAGTAGAAACTTGCCACCACAAGTTTATTGTCCCCAGACCACGTCTTCAGGTGTTGTTGAGTTTGTTCATGCCCTGCTAGGAATTTCATGAGGGTTGATTTCCCAGAGCCTGGCTTCCCCGAGATCCAATATAGCCCGTTATCATGTTGAAGCCAATCCACCAAGTTCACGGGTGGGGGTGCTCTAAACGACTCAGTGTCATGCTTAAAGACCCAAGCAAACGTTCTTGCATGTTCTTTCGGAATAGCTTGATACCGATAGTCTATCAGCCGGAAGATAAGGCTGTTCAGCAGGAGCTGCTCAGTTGAGTACACTTTCTCTTTCTGCGAGCCAGCGTACAACGCCGACCAGGCTCGCGTCTTCTGGCCTTCCTGCTGGACATCACTGATGATCTCGTGTAGGGCGGATGTGATCTGACTTCTCAGCGTTTCTAGCTCCTTGGTCCGATTCACATCCAGGCGCTCATTCTCTTCGATAAGACGTTCTAACTTATAGCTGATCTCTCGCTGCTGGTGGGTGACCAAACGATTGTAAAGCTGGGCTTGAATTCGGTTCAATCTTTGCTGGAGATCATCGATATCGCTCTGCTTCCATACCGATTTAAGCGCTTGGTGGATGCTAGCCCATCCACGCCGGTCGCTCTTGACCTTCACCGAGTTGAGGAGCGCAATTAGCTCATCAGATACACCGATGCACTGTGAACTGAGGCTCTCGAGTATTTCATCTTCCTTCGTGGATCGAGTTTCCTCAGCCAGTCGACGAATATTCGTGGCGAGATCTTCTAGCTCTAAGTTCTCGGTCGTAGCCCCTGAAGCAGACCGATAGAGTTTCTCGCATCGGGAAATCACCTGGGTTGTGAAATCGACGAAGGAGATGATACTGCTTGCTAGGCCTGCTGCGGTGAGCGGATCCATCGTCCGTATTCAAAAGGACATCGACGACATTTGGAGGGGAACCTATATCCGCAAGGTAAGATTGTTCAATTCGCAATACCCTCCATTCAAGACGGGTATAATGATATCCTCTCCTGTCAATTTCAGCCAGGTTTGCACCCAACTTTTTATTACACCAGCCGCTTCCTGTTGGTGAACAAATCACCGATTGGGCACCCATACATCAGATGATGCTATTCTATTGGCGCTCGAGTCAAGGCAGTGGATCAGCCTACTGCACTGTAGTTGCAGTAGTAGTGACGGAAGTACGGCTGAGAGCTGAACTCGTAGCGCGATCGACGTCGACTTGCGCTGCCTGGCGCTTGCTCTGCGAGAGAATAAAGATCGGGTAGAAACAATGCATCAAAACATGCAGGTATTGCTGTAGCTTTTCAAACAGGCAATTTTCTCTTAAGCCTCACTGTCCCCATTGGTGACCACTGGATCTATTATCAACCGCAAAGAAAGCCATTCAAAATCAGGAAGAACAGCAAAGATAGGAGACTTGCTGTAGATGAGACCAAGTAACTTACCATGTGATATCGGCGCACCAACCACTAGATCAAAATCGATATAATGCATCTATCTAGCCCCGCAACGGAGACATTTGTGTGCCAACATGTGATAATCATAAAGACATCTGCTGGTCTCATGAAGACCAGTATACATTTGCGCAATCATGCTGGTCATACCTCTTTGTAGGAGGGACCACCTTCCAGTGAGTACTGTTCACCGTATGCATCACCCTGGGGGTGATTGTAGCACATCCGGTTGGGTGCTAGAGCAGAAGTACCAAAAGCTGCGAAGAAGATGGGATGAAAAAGTCACCTTTCCATGTCGAAAGTGGTCGTGTAGCTAGTCCTGTTTACTCCGTAGCAGGCTTAAGACGGCACTCCTCGTATGTTTGCGCAGTTCCTTCCTAACATAACAGTTTCCTTTTATCTATCAACTAACACATACTGATTCTACCCTGCGGTACTGGTTTAATACTCAATGAGCCTACAGCGGCAATTCATAAAAAAGTCGAATCCAATTAGACCATACAACAACAGAGAAAGAATGTTCATTACTCTGCACAAACCTATCAAGTATCACTTTTCGCGTACATAAAAAGAGCAGAGATATCAAGTACACCACCAACAAACCGCTCTCCGTATCCCACATTCATGAACCAAACTCAAACAAACCCACCCCAACCATTAAATTCCTCACCAAACCTCACCGCGGCCTTGAGATAAAATTCATCTGCATCGCCCCACGTAGCCGCACACTCCTTATAAGCGCGCAGCGCCTTCACATAATGCGCATCAGTCGAATGCTCACTCTTCACAGCCTTCTTAGCAGTCCAGTTCCAATCCCGACCACCAAGATCATACTTGCGGATACGGTCGAGGTCGATCTTTGGACGCAGCTGAGCAATGTAAACGCACAGTGTCATGAGCCACCACTGTCTGACCAGGGAGAGCTGGAACTGAGGAGGGATTAAGGGGAGTAAGACGCGGACAGCGTGGCTGGTAGTCAGGATGTGGACGAAGAAGAAGTCGTATTGTTCGCTGGTGCGGTCTGAGTGGGTGCCGGTCAGGATAGCGACGGCGACTTCCTGGCTCTCGCGGAACTGGGCGATAGGATCTTGGATTTTCCACGCGTTCCAGTGGTTGAGGAGGGCGGCTTCGCGGTCGCGGAAGACGATGTCCATGTTGTTGCCGCCGGGGGTGCCGAAGAGGCCGTTGAATTGTTTGTCGAGACGGACTTTGTCGAGGATGTCGAAGAGGGAGGTCGACTGGTAGGATGATTCGGCTTGGGCGTAGGATGGATCATCTAGGTATTTGTGGATCGCACTGTAGCAGGTTGAGGTCAGGGCTAGGGCTTCCATGGCTACTTCGCGGCTGGCGAATTCGAAGGCGTATGCCAGGTGGATTAGGGGGTGGCCGACTGCGTTAGATGGTTAGTGGGGTGTTTTTGGTGAGGTGCTTTTTCTTGCACAACGTACGATCAGCGATGATGGAGTTGAAGATAGGCTCTTTTCCGGAGAAAAGGTACTCGTTGACAACTTGCTTCCAGTCGTACGACTGGCGGACAAGTTCATCTTCAAAGAAGTCCACAAAGGCACGTTGATACCTATTGAATGCATATTAGCGAGTGGTCGTCAGGTTTGTAGAATGAGCCCTACTCTCTACAACCCAGAAAATCTCTCCAATCGAAGTCACTGATTTCCCCAGGAGCATCAGTCCAAGGTTCCAGGTGCTTGGACTCTGCCTCATAAACGCGGTGCAGATCATCTGCATCAGCACCTTGCATGAACGATGAGCTCAGAATCTGTGCATGTTAGCAGCATCCCAACCAATAAATAGCAGTCTACTTACGTGCGGAGCATGATTATGAAACTTTCGATCATTGTACAATATGGCATGGTTGGCATGGTTCAGTTTCAGCAGATGTTTCAGCGCGCGTGCGGGCTTCTCATGGGCTGTATCAATTTCCTGGGTCTTCACAGGAGGCAGCGCGAATAACACGCGATCCCCGAATATTCTGCTGATCTGAGGTAGAAAGGAAAACATATTGACTCCAGTTGAGAAGGAAACAGAGACTAAAGACAGCTTAATCGCTATCTAGCACGGGAAACCCGATCTGTTGACGAGCCGTTGGAGCGGCTGGTCTTGGCGTTGAGATCGGCCGGTTTTCGAGGGCGCCGAGAGACACTCGAAAAATCACTTACTCGACCAGTAGATGCACGCTTGAGACTGTGAAGATCGGCAGAGTAGCAGCCTTATCGGTCTTATCAAGTTCAGATCTACCCTGATAATCGCGTGTAGAAAAGCACGAGGCGTGCACGAGGTCAACAAAGAGCAAGTGAGCCGAAGTGTGGGGAAAAAGAGGAGCGGTTATCTGGAGTTGTTGGGATCGGCCCATCTCCCGCCTCTGGATATGACGCAATTCATGCTGCATTCACCGGAGATGGCTGCCACCAGTGGTTCGAGTGAATGACTATTCAGGCTAAACTCTATGCTCCAAGACGCCGTGTGTTATATACAAAAAAGGTTTCCAAAAATGCCTGAGCACCTGTGCTCGGGCCCATGTTCATCCGTTTCGCCAATTTGCGACCTGCTTATTTCTCATGGAAGTTGGTAGGCACCACAACTTCATCGGTGCCTTCACCAGGGGCTACCTGGCCACTGATGATATCTACATCCATCCGGGGTCCGGTGAAGTTCTTACGTCCGTCAACAAACCATTGGAAGATCGACACCACCATAACGATGCCAAACACGGCTACACAGTAGTCTAGAGTGGACGCGTTAGAAACTTGGTCAAGCGGATAACCAGGACGAACCTACTCATGTTGCTTCCAGTTGCAGGGTAGTCAGGGGGGAAGAGGAAGAGCACGGTCGTGAGGGAGACGTAGGCCAGCGAAATCTATCCGGGAAACATGTTAGTATTTTATGGATTAATAGTTCCCCAGTCAGACGTACCAGGTTTGCAATCCAGCCCAAAACGTTGGGCAAGACGAAGGACCTCTCCGGGAGCATCTTCCGGCCGCGAATACAGTTCACTGCAATAGGGATGCCGTACGCCACATCAAGCATGACAACCGAAGCCGACACAATGGCGTTAAACGCACTGTTGAGAGGTTAACGTACCGCAATATGCATTGTTACTTTCTGCAGTTTACATACCTTGAGGAGCCGAGGAAAATGCATCCAAAAATGATGACCAGAACGTTGGTAAGGTACAATGCATTCAGAGGAACCTCCAGCTTGGTGTGCACCTTGCTGAAGAAAGGAGAAGCGGGGAGACCGCCATCTCTTGCAAAGGCGTAGATCATACGACTACTGGTGGTCATGATCGTGATAGCAGCGAAGAGAACACACACGAGAGGGAAGCTTGAACATGTCAGTAAATGCGGGCCGACATCTTAGGAACAACTTACACGAGAAGGCAGATGGCACCGGCGTTGTTGCTCGTCGCATTCACGAAAATCTGCAGCAAAGGCGTGGCCGCGGAGTTGATATCTTCGTAGATGTTTCCAGCCACAAAGAGGAGAACAATCAAGAAGATTGTGCCAGTAAAGGTTCCAATACCGACGCAACCGATCATGATTTTGGGCCCTACCACCGAGGGATTTGGAATTTCTATGAATGTTCAGTATATGTTGACGCCAGTAGTGCTGGCAAATTTACCTTCGATCATGTGTGCGACACCGTCCTGGATAGAAATTAATACAGTGTTGTACAACAGAGAGCAGAAGACTTACAAAGCCTGTGAGACCCAGTCCACCTTGAAGGAGCTACATGGTATGAGTAACAAACTTCACAGAATTTAGGTAGCAAAACATACTCCGAGCAGCCAAGCAAGTCCATCAGGCCCTAAAAACTGTTAGCCTTGACCGACCAATAAGGGGTGCGGTCTGCCATACATCCTGTTTCGTTGATGAATTTTCCGAAGACGAACCTATTTGTTCAGCATAACGTATAGAAGCAATTAGTTGGTGTATTACTTACTCTCCGGAGTTGTAGTTAGGCGATGCGCATGCTAAAAGAGTGATGCAGATTATAGTGAAGCCGGCAAGGGACCAGATAACTAGACATGTCAGCTCTAGATCATATAGTAGGCAGACAGTTTCACTCACAGGCACCCTTGGTTACCAAGGGAAGAAGCGAGCCCATAAAGGCATTGATGAGGAATGCAATAACGTTGTAGGCGATGTAGATCAGGAATTGATGCCAGCGCTGCGAAACATACGTCTATTGAGTCGTGAGTAACTGTTCGGGTCGCAAAGTCAGAGAGGGACTTACGGGATGCATCAACGAGATAACACCCAAGATCAGTTCACTTCCAAGAAGACCTCCAGTTGCAGTCAGGGCAACCTGTAGATATCAGCAGCCAATCATATGAAAAAGACTTGTATACATACCCAGCCAGTCACGTTCGCCCAGCCCGTAATCCACGAAAGAAGGGGCATCCATCTCTCCCAGGAAACTTTC